CTTGCCTATGTTTAGGCTTAGCATACACATTCATTTATAAATGGTACTTTAAAGTATGTGTTGTATTAACATTCTGAGGATTACAACTCCTTTTAACAGATTAAATAGCAACATTAAACTTTATAGCTTAGTATAACATATGTCTGAGCAGCTTTTAACTTCATATTTAAGTAACATGATAAATCTCTTTAGATGAACAAAGTGCAAATTCTTTGGGCCACAAAGATAGGCAAGATCAACATCTTCTCTCTGTCAGTAGATTGGTTTTACCACAAAGGTCCAGAAGCACCCTCAAGTAGCAGTGCAATCTATATATCACTAATTATGGTCAGAAGGAACAGATCAGTATCCTTATAGCCAAAACCCAAATCATCACCCTTGGCAGACACTGATTAGCATTCGGATAGAAAATATTAAATAACTCCATCCGACAGGATAATTAATTCAGTTATCTGCACCATTAGGATGTAATGCTGCTCTAAAACAGAGCTTTTACAAGAGCAATACTAAGGCAAATGTCACTTCTTTCATGCTCCATGGCATGGAGCTCTGGACCTAAGTCAAGAACTCATTCAGGCATTCAAGAAGATCCAAAGTTGCTTTTTGAGGTCCATTTACAACCTTCAGATAGAGAACCCTACAGCTTATTTTCCTGAAGAATAGGATGGCATTCCGGTTGGATAAGAGACCAATCTGGACCTTTAAAGTAAAAAATAAAGTCACTGTTGCCACCAATGCCTCTGTTATTTTTCAGGGAAAAAAACGGTGTAATTGTTGACATAATCCCTTGAATCTGTGGGTAGAACGAGTGAATATAAGACAAATTCTCTAATGGGACACAATAAAACCAACTAGAAAATTGTAAGTTGAAGCACTTTAAGATGATTAGGAGATGGGACTTTCCCGGTTGCACAGTGGTTAAGAATCTGCCTGCCTGTCAAGGGGACACGGGTTCGATCCCTGGTCCAGGAAGATCCCACATGCCATGGAGCAACTAAGCCCATGTGCCACAGCTACTGAGCCTGTGCTCTAGAGCCTGAGAGTTACAACTACTGAGCCCGTGTGCCACAACTGCTGAAGCCCACGCACCTAGAGCCTGTGCTCCAAAACAAGAGAAGCCACTGCAATGAGAAGCATGCGCACTGCAACTAAGAGCCACAACTACTAAGCCCGCTTGCCGCAACTAGAGAAAGCCCGCGAGCAGCAACGAAGACCCAACGCGTTCAAAAAAAAAAAAAAAATGATTAGGAGAGTAAATCAAGATAGCTGTCTTGAATTTATGTTTGTTATTAATTTTGATATGGGAAGTATTATCATTTAGATATTATTGATAAACTTTTATATTTTCAAAGGAAAATACGGCAATACCCAAAGAAAGAACTGCAACAAATATGTTTCAAGACCTTTCAAATTAGGAATAGTAAAATAAACAGAAATTCGAGACCTGTGACTATGGCTTTTAAAAGTATATTTTTAAAGTATATTTTGAAGGGTATAACCCAAGACTATCAATAACAGTCTTTAAACGATATTTTTACATAAAAATCTTTTAACTCACTGAATAAAATCTTATAAAAATACAAAAATACAATTTTAAAGAAACAAAGCTCAGTATCTTAGCCATCACTCAACCTATAGCCTAATCCCTTTATCTTACAAGTAAGGAAGCCAAAGAATTTGCTCTTCTTCTCTTCTAAATACTCTGGGCTTCTCTGATGGTGCAGTGGTTAAGAATCCATCTGCCAATGCAGGGGACACAGGTTTGAGCCCTGGTCCGGGAAGATCCCACATGCCGCAGAGCAACTAAGCCCATGAGCCACAACTACTGAGCCTGTGCTCTAGAGCCCGCGAGCCACCACTACTGAGCCCAAGTGCCACAACTACTGAAGCCCGTGCGCCTAGAGCCCGTGCTCTGCAACAAGAGAAGCCACCGCAATGAGAAGCCCGCGCACCGCAACGAAGAGTAGCCCCACTCGCCACAACTAGAGAAAGCCCGCGTGCAGCAACAAAGACCCAATGCAGCCAAGAATAAAAAAATAAATTTATAAAAATAAATAAATAAATACTCTGATATCCTCTATTAGTTTCCCTCTGCTTCCTAATAGGTCCCCACGGTCCATGGAATACATTCATGTCACCTGCTCATGGTCTGAGGCCAGCCAACTGCCTTCTGTTACCTTGTCTATTACCTTGAGAGGCCTTTTTGCTTAGTCCTTTTAAATAAATGATTCCAGAGTTTCTCAGGCTACCACTGGGCATGAAAGCAAAGAACTGCTGCAGTATTTGGGGGAGGTTTGGGGCAGTAATGCTATATATGCCAGACAAGGGACCTGGACACTATTCGGGTCTCACGTCACTAAAGTCTACTTTCCCGTCTTCCATCATTAAACTCTGGAAGAATCTAGTTCTCATTCCCCTACCTTTCTGGAGGTGAGGGACGGTGGAGGAAACACATTTTCCATTCTCTCCTCCATATATAAGCTGAAGACAAGCTCATTATTATTTACTGGTAGGTAGCTGAATTTACTCAAAAATAACAAGGAGGAAAAAAGTATTATTAAGAAGAAATAAACCCTCAGAAGGCAATCTAATTTTTTGTTCATTGCCTTAATTTTTCACACTCAGTTCTATTGGTAATATCCGAGCTGCCAGACGTCATATTCAACCAAAGAGCTGTAGAACCTTACAAAATCCCTCACTCCTTGGGCCTGTTTTCTCATATTTAAAATAAAAAGACTGAACACATCAATCTCCAAGGTCCCTTTGTATTGGAATACTGTCTCCTTTATATTCTAAATTCAATTATAAGGCAGATTAAACATAGACTCATCTGCTTGTACTTTAAGTCAGTGATCTCCAAAATGGGGTACATACGGCAATTAATTAGAGGAGTAGGAACAAAATATTAAAACTTTTAATTTATATACATTTTTAATCCAAAGAGGTAGGAAAAAGACTCTGCTTTATGCTACCTTTACACTCTGAACCATGCTGGTATTCTCACTTGGTCTGTGGGAGAACAGGAGCTCCACAAAGCAGAAGGGTCAGCAGGGAAACACCCTTTCTTTGTCCATTCTCAACATACAGCATGTTACTTGTGATTGGTTATGGAGATTTACAGATATTATCAAATGTTTACCAGATAGACAAGAGGCTTACAAGAATTTTTGCAAAGTAATCTCAGATTAAAAATAATACCAATAGTGAAATAAGTGAGGCAGAGAAAGACAAATATCACGATACCATTTATATGTGGAATCTAAAAAAATGACACAAATGAACTTATTTATGAAACAGAAATAGACTCACAGACATAGAAAACGAACTTATGGTTACCAAAGGGGAAAGGGGGAGGGATAAACTGGGAATTTGGGATTAACAGATACATACTACTATATATAAAATAGATAAACAACAAGGACCTACTGCATAGCACAGGGAACTATATTTAGTATTTTGTAATAACCTATAATGGAAAAGAATCTGAAAAAGAATACACACACACACACACACATGTGTATATGTGCGTGTATGTATAACTGAACTTAAAAAAACACCAATAATGCAAACATAAGTGAATGACTCAAAAACACCAGGGTCAACTTTTCCTGTTCTTAAAACAAGCTGTCAACCTCATTACAAGGTAAAGCAATGACTGTGGAATTAGATTAGCTCTAACAAGATGTAGCCCTCCTTAATTATCAAGAAGTAGTATTAGAAGAGTCCACTGTCCTTAATTATGAACCTTTTCCTTGGTGTACAGTGGGTATTGAGGTTTGTTAAAAATGAAAGTACATATATGAAATTTAAAAAAAATATTTCATATATAAATTGACAAAAGGTTATACTGGGAATTCCCTGGCAATCCAGTGGTTAGGACTCTGAGCTTCCACTGCAGGGGGCATGGGTTCAATCCCTGGTCAGGGAACTAAGATCTCTCATGCACATGATGTGGCCAAAAGAAAAAAAAAAGTTTAAACTGATAAGGGTCTACAGTCAACAAAGGTTAAAGGCTTATTTATGGGAAAGTGGATGCAGCTGCTCCTGGGTGCATGTGGAGTGCTGAGATGAGCTACTTCATGGTATTCCTGACTCGGCAGCCATTCTGTTTTGCCAAGTGTCTTGCAGGGGCTTTAAACGGACACTAGCCCCTCATGCAAGAGTGTGCCCTCGATTAACAGCCCCAGAGTCCCAAGCCAATGTCAGTTCCTGATATGACTCCCTCTGTGATCATGTCTCCCCCACCTCCCAGGGCCTTCCCCTTGTGCACCCCTTAGAAAAGACCACTGTGGAGCTTACCAATTGGTTTGAATTGACCGATTTGGCCTTAGCTTTGGAACCCCAAAGCACTTCGCCCACCCTAATAACGGCATGTGCCCCAGGTCCTGTCTTTCTGTCTGTCTGTAGTCCGCCTTGATCTCCCTGTGTGGCCCCCGCGGGTGAGTCATGTACCTTCTCAGGACCTGTTAAGTAATAAACTTCTCTATTTCAATTTCTTTTGTGGTCTTTCATTGAACTGCAGCTCACCATGACACCCTGGGCTCCATTTAACAAACGTTCATCTAACAAAGTCACAATAACGTGCCATGGTGCAGTGCAAAAGCATGAGCGCTGGAGTCACACAGACCTGTGTTAGGCTCACAGCCCCGACACACAACTAGCTGTGTGGTCTAGATAAGCCTCTGAGGCTCCGATTTCTAATCTGTAAAGGTGTGAAAATAATACCCATCTCACAGGGTTGTTGTGAGACTTGAACAAGAATACTTGGCACGTGTAGGTCTTAATAAATATTAATTTCTTTTTCCTTACTCTTAGTTTGCCAAAAAACAAAGGCATGGATTTGTGTAGTAAGGGAGGGCAAGTTAAGAATATAGCATGATACTACTTAAAACTGCATTATTTGTTTCTGCTAGGGTACAGTACAATAATCTGCCCCCCAAGAGAATTTATTTATGTTAACTGAGATTTAAGAACTGAATTGGCAGCTTTTTTTAACTTACCATATTAAAATTTAGATTTTCGTCAACCCATGCTTTTGCCTCTTCAAATTCGTCTTTCATTTTCATAATAAAAAGTGTATCTAGGGCATCTACTATTGTTGCTCCTTGGATATTACCTGAAAATATCAGAAAAATATTTACTCAGTAAAACACCTTTGACAGATCCATACATGCACATTGACCACACCTTGGAAAGGAAGTGGATAATACTGAATTTACTGGTAAACCAGAATACTGAACACAGTCTAAACATCTTTCAGTGAAAGAAAATTGAAAAGTTGCATCAAAACCAAACTAAAAACTATCACAGGCTATAGATTGGTACACTAATCTTTAAAGTCTCTTCTGAGTTGCAGAAAATGAATCTCTTAGAAATTTCATTTGGGATTGCATTCTCTAGCAAGAAAAAAAAAAAAGACCTGAAACCAAGGAGCAACACACTTATTAATTTTAATGTAATTACATCAAAGTGCACCTGTGCAAAACTCTTAAACTATAAATAGATCTAAAATTGTTTAGTGATAGCTCTAAGAAACCATTACTCAAAAATGGAATTCTACCCCCTCTTTTTGCAGCCCTGACTGATCCTAACCTCTCCTCCCATCCTCCTAGCCAGTGGTGACTCTCATGTATTTCCTCTGAACTCCCTCGGCAGGAAGACTTTACATTGCTCTTGCACTCACCACTTTCTATCTTCCATTATAACTACTTTTATGCATCTCCTTTTAGTCTGTAAACTTCCTTAGAATAGAGAAGTCATGTCTTATTCACCTCCACATTCCATACTAAGAGACTCAGTATGTTTTTAAGGCTTAATAATAAATTAAAAAACTATCACTGTATTAACAGAGAGCCAAGTAATCTCTTCGATAAAGACTATGGCGGGCTTCCCTGGTGGCGCAGTGGTTGACAGTCCGCCTGCCGATGCAGGGGACACGGGTTCGTGCCCCGGTCCGGGAGGATCCCCCATGCCATGGAGCGGCTGGGCCCGTGAGCCATGGCCGCTGAGCCTGCGCATCCGGAGCCTGCACATGCAGAGCCTGCGCATGCGGAATGTTCCGCAACGGGAGAGGCCACAGCGGTGAGAGGCCCGCGTACCGCAAAAAAAAAAAAAAAAAGACTATGGCAAATTTACACAAAACTGACTTCTTAATACCGTGAACAACTTATAGAGATAAAAGCAAAAATAGAATTAAAATTTTTTAAAAGTTATAGTAAACAAAAAATTAGGACCTTTGAGTCTGCATGAAGTTTCTGAGTTTCTCTCTTCAATTCCTACCTCCCATCACCCATGTTAACTAGTCACCGTGTCCTCAAAAACACTACTCTAGTAACATCTGAAATCACTTGTACTGCCATGACTCCAGGTGTGGCTCTTTTCATCTCTAAAGTGTGTCACTGTGATCGACCAGCCAGCCTTTTCCCCACTCTTCCAGCTCTCCCTAACCATTCCTGCAATGCCTTTCTCCCTACCAGAGAGCCTATGGTTCTTCAGAACTTCCTATGAATATCTATTGAACCACCTGGTGCTTTGATAATTCACTATCTACACATATGTCTTCTGCACTAGGTCATGAACTTTGCAGAGACTTGTATTGTGTTTCTTAACACCAGTGCTGGAAAGAGAGCCAAACACATGGAAGGTCCTAAATAAATGGAAAAGCATAATGGGGTGATTAGGAGCAGACTCTGACCTTAGCCACATGTGGGTTCAAGTCCCAGCTCAGCCAGTTAGTAGGTGGCTAACACTGGGCAAGCTGTTCTCTCAGCTTCGTATTTCTCATCTATAAAATACATATAATAATGAGGTTAAATGAGAAGATGCACAAATGGCACGTGGCACATAGTGTCAGCTGATACTGTTGTTATATGATTTGATACTATTTAACACCTTTAGTTAAAGTATAGAAAGTCACCTTTTCTATGGTGAATTCAGAAGCAACAGACCAAGGTTCCCTCCTCTTCATCCTGTTACTTATAGACAAAATTGTGGGAACTGAAGAGGAATTGAGTTCAGTGAGAAGGGCACTGGGTAGCTCTGTGACCCAAGGAATCTACCTAACACTTCTGTTACCTAGCTTCTGCACCTCCACGATGGGAATGTTTTTAATACCTAGAGTACTCATCACAGAGGGATGCTGTGAGGACCAAAAGCAATAAAATGATGCCAAAGTGGATAAATGGAAGTTTAAATAACTGACGACTCCATCCTCACTTTCTCTTCCACTGCACAAAACAGGAGAAATTTAGAGCCAATGTTGAGAGTCACTGAGATACAGTGAAGGTCACCACGGCTGGCTGCCTTGGCCAGCTTATTGATAAAGACACAGCTTTTACCTGACAGGAAGCAGTTAATGCAGCCAACAAATGCTCCTCTGCTTGGTACCACATGGGAGCTGAAAATCATGATACTGTGCCCATATCCATTAAATAAGGATCTCTGGAAGTGTGCCCCAGGCATCAGTATTTTTTCAAGGGATGCAGGTGGTTCTAAAGTGCAGCCAGTGCTCTGTCTGAAGGACACACTATGCACATTCCCTGCAGACAACTCCATCAGGTATGCAAGTTTCCTAGCAACACAGTCTGGAGGATCACACAAACTTTTTCCATCACCCACAAGTTCAGTCAATTGGAGAGAAGTTACTGTCAGTAAGGAGCCAAAGCACACTCTACTCACCAAACAAACTGCTTGAATGGCCTCCTTTTGATACAGGCTTCAGTTCATTTTTTCCCCAGGCATAACGTTTATAATTATTCCAAGCATGTTTCATCATCTGAGAAAAGAAATGAAAACGGGATTATATTTTGAATTTGAGATGTTTTTGTTTCAAAATAGATCATATATTGAAGACCTAAAGGTTAAAACATTAAAACTCACTGCTTTGTTAAAAGGATGATAATTAAAAGGGTGACAAAGGGTATGAATAAGCTGGAACACACACATAACACACAAATACACATCATCCCTTTATGTTTACAAGTGGAGATTTTTTTAATCCATTTAATCCTATTTCATATACATATTTTCAAAAGTCAGTTCTCAGCAACAGAAACTTAGTTTATCATAAAAGGATGAACCATTCTTACATTTTTCTATTTCATCCTCATGATGCATTAAATCTGCAGAGACTGCATACTTAAAATTCACATTTTTGCATAAGGTTCTCTGTACTTAGTATATAGACAAATATCCAAAAGTTATGACTTTAAACACTTTGATGTATCTTGACCAGGTCTATATGGAGAAATATTTTTAAATATCTATAGGAAATGAAAAAAAGAAACTCTACGGGTATACATAGATTTTGGAAAACTTCAGCTTAGTATAATTAATCTTTAATTGCATACATATCTGTGTGCACATATGTAACTGAAGACTAATTCTACATATTCCCAACCTAGACTCCTTGTACCAGGAATGTTTTTAAAGCCCCAAACTCTCTGCCATAAATCAGTTGTATACCTTTTTTAATTTTAACAAAATTAATTTATCTACATATAATGAAAACCAATCAATTTCTCCTGACTTATAGACCAATTTCTGACCTATTGTGCTAGATATTAACTCTAGCAGAAAGTGAATAATTTTCAAGGGGAGAAATTGTTCTCTAAGAACCTATCAAAGTTATACAAAAATTTGTATAACTATCGTGTAACAGTTGTACAAATTTTTTTCAATGACTCCAAGAATATACTGTAGATAATTATTTTTGCATACTTTTTATTAAAAGGGTTGAGGACTCCTCACCTGTCTAGAATTTATTCATGCCACTATTCCCAATCCATTAGCAACAGTAATAAAAATATGGACATAATCTGGAAATATTCTAATCTGGCTCCATATTTTAAAATATCTTAAAAAGCATCACATAAAGTATAAATACTATGTAAAGGCTGTTTATCACTAAAAATCTGCACTGAGATCAATACAATTTTATTAATAAGAAAGTCTTCATATGTCCCTGAAAACAATAATGCACATCTTTCTTTAATCAATTTGTATATTTTCTTCCTATCTCACCAGTACTGCTACTAATAATAGCTACCAAAAAATCTGTACTATCTGCTGGGTACTCTGCTAAATGCTTTAAATTCAGTATAGTATTCAATTCTTGTTACAACGTTATGAAATGCGTTGTATTATCATTGTTTGGTAGATGAAGAAACTGAGACTTTTAGAAGTGAAAACACAAACAACTTTACTCAAAGTCATGACATTTCTCCACAGCTGTGGAGCCAGGGTTCATCCCTGTGTTGGTCTGACTCCAAAGCCAATGGCATTAACCATACACTGCATCAACTTCCTTTAATGAGTCGGCAACAGAATCTTCCTTTGATGAATCAGATTGCTGATCTTCTAACAATCAATAGAATGTGGATCTCGTAGTGTTTTTGAGATTTTCTCTTATAAATTAATTTTGTTGGACAGTATAAAAGGTTTGAAGGTAAAATAACCTGATTTATAATCCCTATCGTATCACCAATTAGTCTCATAATCATGGATGAGTCACAGTTTTGTGAGACTTTCTTTATCTGAAAACGGGATCATAATTCCTCACAGGGTGCATGTAAGGATTACATGAGCATGTAATGTGGCCTGTGTGATAGCTCCCGGCACACATGGCGAATAATCACACGCTTATTGAATTTTAAGCCTATATTGAGATCAATTAAATTCACATCACAGAAACAGAAACCAATGAGCCTCTGAAAAGACTAGGTACATGAACACTAGGTATAAAAACACCTTGAGATTACATCTCAATTTGACTTGGTTTTCCCATTAAATGTACTGTATTTGGTAAACTCTTCATTCCTATTCCAAGGATAAATTCAGAAGCTTTTGGAATACACCTGATGCAAGAACAGAAAAAAAAAATGTTATGATGATTTGTTTCAGCTCCAAGTCTGAATCGAAACCAGTGCCATGTACTATTAATAACTCAAAGACAGCAGAAAACTTTCCTATAGAAGACTGTTGTCCAAAATTATCATTTATACAATGTACCACTAGAACAGAACCTCACTGAGTTACCACTGTAGTATATATTAACTTTCCTTATCTCGTTTTCCCCCAAAGAGAAAATCTGACACCAACTGCTTATCTGCCTACATTTCAAAAGTTGCTGTGACCCATTTCTCAAAATGGGCTCCTCATCCCATGGGATTTCTATGTGCAAAGTTAGAAAAGAAAAAGAAAACAATGTGGTCAAAGTGCCCTGTATGGAGCTCTAAGAGTGGTTTCTCCAAGAATCTGTGAAATGAGGAACAGCCATATTGGTCATGGATTCCAGTGGTTGGTCACCTCTGGAAATGATTTACCACTTTAAAGCCAAATAAGACTTCATGTGTGTGTTTGTGTCTGTGTGTGTGTAGAACAACAATGAGATTAAATTCACAGGTCATATATACAATCAACTTTGTAACTCAGATTTATGACATACAAATATTTGAAAGCATCAAAATGCTACTAGCCTCTAATTTTACAGTATTAAGCCACTAGCCAGCTAAGGGACCATGAGAATGAAAGCATTTACTCTTTCCAGACTCAGTATGCTCAGGAGCTGACAGGACAAGAAGGTCACTTTTAAAATTCAACCACAAAGATGTCCATAGATAGGATTAATCCTTCATCTTCATAGGCTCCTTCATTTTGTTTCGTAGTCTTTCATCACTTTAATCAGGGTTAGGCAGCCTGACATCTGAGGTAGAAAGATTAAAACAGGCCTAATTCCATGTTGATTAGGATTTCAAACTCCATACTGAAACCCTAATAAAAAAAAAGATAAACTGAAAACAAACCAAAGATTTTTGTTTGAATTTTATTTTTTCCTGAATATTCATATTTGCATTGGTCATACAGCTAACATACAGTGTGAAGGGAAATAAATGCGATTTTGTAATAGTAATCCTTTGTTTTGACCCAGAGAAGCTGGAATTAGGCATGAAATATCCAAAAAATAGCATGACTTCTCCTTGACTCTATGCTTATTGAAGATTCTTTGATTAGCACTTTGTTATCAATTGGCCTCAGGGCTGCATAATTAGTGCCACTTATTGAGTGTCCGCTACACTATGCGTGATAAGATGCTAAAGGACTAGCAGGGAAATGTACATGAGTCTATCATGCTTATAATCTAATAGATAAGATGGAAGCTTAACGTTTTCCCTTCTTACACACTCACAAATGTTTATAAATATGAGAACAATAAGAAAAGCAATTAAATGTTGTGCATAACTCCATGAAAGGATGCTCAACAACACTAATCATTAGAGAAATGCAAATCAAAACTACAATGAGGTATCACCTCACACTGGTCAGAATGGCCATCATCAAAAAGTCTACAAACAATAAACGCTGGAGAGGGTGTGGAGAAAAGGGAACCCTCTTGCACTGTTGGTAGGAATGTAAATTGATACAGCCACTATGGAGAACAGTATGGAGGTTCCTTAAAAAACTAAAAATAGAGCTACCATATGATCTAGCAATCCCACTCCTGGGCATATATCTGGAAGATGAAAACTCTTAATTTGAAAAGATATATGAACCCCAATGTTTACAGTGGCACTGTTCACAATAGCCAAGACATGGAAAAACGTCTATCAACAGATGAACAGATAAAGAAGATGTGTTATATATATATATACAATGGAATATTACTCAGTCATTAGAAAGAAGTAACGCCATTTGCAGCACCATGGATGGACCCAGAAATTATCCTACTAAGTGAAGTCAGAGAAAAACAAGTATCATATGATATCAATTATATGTGGAATCTAAAGAAATGATACAAATGAACTTATTTACAAAACAGAAACAGAGTCATGGACATTGAGAACAAACCTATGGTTCCCAAAGGGGAAGGGTCGGGCAGGGACAAATTAGGAGTTTGGGCTTAACAGATACACACTACCATATATAAAACAGATAACAAGGACCTACTGGACAGCACAGGGAACGATATTCAGTATGTTGTAATAAAGTATAATGGAAAAGAATCTGAAAAGATTCAGTTAAAGTGATATAACTGAATCACTTTGCTGTACATCTGAAACACAACACTGTAAATCAAATATACTTCAATTTTAAAAAAATTTTGTAACTAACAGTTTGTTTCAATTTTATGTCCTAATCAAGGGCATGGGAAGCAATGAATAAAGAAAACTGTGCTTGAATTTCCCCAGGTATGTGTAGATTTCATAACCTACGTTTTTGTTGCTAAGAACTACCCTTAGCAAATGTTTTTATTTACTGATTCTTTAATCACATGATTTTAAGTTACTCATAAGGCACATTAAAAATCTTTTTGAAAATCTCACTCCTTTTTTTTCCAGACAGGTTTGATGAGGATTTGGGGCTTTCACTGCCTCTTTTAAAAAGCATACAAGTTCAAGTCCCACTTACAGGGCCATCCTGTGAGGTCTTATACAAAATCTCTATAGTCTGACAGTGTGATCTGGGTCCCTGGCCCCACCAGGGTCTGGTGCCTGACCCACAGGGAGACAACTGAGGGCTGGCCATGAGCCTTCGAGGTGAGGCACCCACAGTGTGACGCTCTCTCCAACGGATGGACCAACCCAATCATCTATTCTACCTAGGCGAGTATAACTGGGAGATAGTCACAGAGAATCCGGAGGCCAGAGAGTGATGTAGGAGCAGAGAAGTACAAATACATAAAGAAAAAAACCCACAAGAAAGAGTCACGAAGCAGGTGAAACCATGAGGGAGACGGAAGGCAAGGAGAGAAAAATAAGAAACTGGGAAGCAGGTATG